GTTACGCTAAAAATAAGAAATTTTCGCCAATGACAATAAACCACGAATTTGTCTCGAATATGTAGATGATATTTTGTTGACATGAACTCTTTATAAATGCAAACAAGATAAATACATCTGAAAACGACAAACAAAAATAATGAAAGCGTGTAATTAATGTCTTACAATTTATTAATTTTTCTACAAAGAGTAATAAAAATGAAATAAAACAAAATATGTTACTGCTAAACGATAACGTGAATAAAATTTCATGAATTTGTACTGTAATTTTACCATACCAACATGGTACGATAGAAGAAACTCAAATAGTTTTAAAAATAACACAGAATTAAAGTAAGTTACAAAAAAAGAAACACCCTTAGAAATACGTTTGTTCGCTTAGAGGAGAAAATCCACAGTATGTCATCACAGAATTATGTATGCAATTGAGGTTGTGTTGATTGTGATGCGCCACACTCAAACACGTACGTTACGTATGTGTCGACAAATATAGCCCTAACATAGGACGTAATGTAGTAAAATCAGTATTCCCAATAATTAATCGACGTTTCCTCTTTATTCATGCCTTAGTCCCCTGTGTTGGTTAATTGTACTCTCAGGCTCTGCTCCCACATAGTCTGTTTTGCGTTGTTATGTGAATTCGGAACAAAAACCGCAGATTCATATACCTTGGTACTGCATGTATTAGTTTCTTTTGAGCGTGCTGCTCCTTCTTGCGACAGTGCCTACATCCGTGTGTTCGTTATCCGCTTCTTCAATTGGGTCCATCTTGATGGCCTCGAGGCAATGATCCGTCCAAGTATAGGCCATAACTGTTGATTGGAGCTTCTAGACATAGAAAGTCCATCTATATTGACATATAACTTTAAAGAGTCAAAATCAATAGTACACAACCAAAGCTCAACGTATCTTAGCAGATTGGTTTTCAATCCTAGATGGTAGTAAACCCCACTGCCGATGAACTTGGGTTGAACACTTGGACATGTCTTCAAAACGCCTCTGATGCTTTTCGGTATGTCCGGGATAAGAAATCTTAGACCATACAGAACCCGATCAGCATCTTTTATGCTCAGTGATGTATTTGACATTAGATACATCATAAAGTCGTTCATCTGTTCTTTGCGATTCACGAACTTTGTAGAGCACAAGTTCACTTCAGTACATCCTATAAGATATATATTCACGTACGAAGTTAATGTTCATACCACTATTAGCTGGAAGCCTTTGATTGATGTTGCTAGTGGACGGTGTATTAATCGAAGTACTTTCATTACAACTGACTTCTCTCTTTACTTCTATCAATTAAGTAAACAACATTGTTAAACTCAGTTACCTTTTACGGTGCTTTCATTAGCAAACTCACTGACCGAAAGAAAGTGATATTTTTTCATTAAAGCAGCTCTCATTTTATTCCACCTCCGATTATAAGTGGTTCTGTGACAACCAAGGGAACGTGACAAGTTCACAGTTGCCCTACGTCTACGAACATTCTCACTGATATCAGAAAAAGTCATATTATTGGCCTAAGAAGGTAATCAGTCACAATGAACCTAAAGTCCTGAGAGCACGTCACTCACCTGCATCACGTAAGTTTTTTGTGATGGCTCCAAAGCATGTCGGAACACTTTAATTAAACAACAAACGAAGTCAGTCTATATGCGTATCAACCGAAAGCCTGGTTCCGTATTTTGTACATTGTTTTTATGAAAATACTTTTGTTTTTTTAATTTGCGGTGAATAAATTTGTCGAAGTTTATGAAAACTTCAGTTCCAGATGCGGTTCATTCAAACACTGTACGTTACGTAGAACTGTCGACAAATTTCCCCCAAATACACGACGTAAGGGGGAAAAAGCGACATTTCCCCTAAATAACCGACGTAAAGGCGAAAAAGCGACATTTCCCCTTTATTTCCCCTTTCGTCCGCTTTATTTCCCCTTTTTGTGTTGCTTGGGTCATTCAAATCCAGAGCACGGCTCATTATAGTGTTCATTGTAGGTATACTATATTCCTGCAGAAATTTATCTGTTGTGAACTAATGTCTTGTGGTGAATTCTCAATCTATTGTAACGAGATCTCTTGTTAAGTAGCGCTCGTTGTCACGATAATTCTGACATCCGAGTTTGACCTGACATGTCTCTCGAAGATAGAATAAAAATGAAGGAAGCACTAGCTGAACTTGAAACTCGTCGGCAAAACGGCGAGGAAAATCTCCGGCTAGCGGGTTTTCGAATAGTCAGGTCTTGGAAGCGAATGCTACCAAGGCCTGTGAGGATAGGCTGTTCTACTTAGGAGTTTTATATGCCAACGCTCATAGTCTACGAAATAAGTTCTATGAACTAGAAGCACTAGTGGACAGGTTAAAGCCACTCATAGTAGCAGTGACAGAAATTTGGTTAGTCCATGACTTAGACATTACTCCAGAATTATCCGGATACCATTACATCAGGAGTAATAGACATAGATGTAGAAAAGGAGGCGGCGTCCTGTTATATGTAGCCAATAGCATAAATATCCTCTCCTACTAGCGAATCCCATAATAGCGGTACTTGTGAAGTCATTAGCTGTACATTGGCTATAGGATATCATAAACTATGTTGAAGGGCAAAATCTTTTCTCCAGGGCACAACATGGTTTTCAGAAAGGCCTGTCTTGCTTGACAAATCTTCCCATTGCACGAGAAGATTGGGCTGCGGCAAAGGATCGGAATGTTCCTGTGGATGTGATTTTCATAGATCTAAGTAAAGCCTTTGATAAGGTTTCCCACTCTGGTCTTAGATTCAAACTGAAACATTTTGAAATCCATTATACAGTCGTCGATTGGATAAGTAACTTTCTCCATGATAGGAGACAAAGGGTAAGGGTTAGTGGGGCTCTCTCCTCGTGGGTACCTGTAAAAAGTGGGGTTCCTCAAGGTACAATCCTAGGTCATCTCTTTTTACTTATGTAAATGAATTGCTAACTGTAGCAAAATCATCCGTTCTACTCTTCGCTAATGACATAAAGATTTGGAGACCCATACATAGTATGTTGGATAGAATAGTATTACAGGACGATCTTAGCTCATTGGTGGCATGGTTAGACAGTTGGTCACTAGAAGTAAATCCTAATAAGAGTGTAGTGATGCAGTTAAACAACTCTGACGAATCGTATCACTATACACTACGTGGATTCGTGCTACCCAAAGTAAGAAACTATAAAGATTTAGGAGTCATATTAAGCAATGATCTCAAAACCACTAGTCACTGTAAGGCTGCTGCTGCAAAAGGCTATAGGGTATTATGGTCAATTCGTAGGTCTTTCCAGTACTTAGATGATGAAATGTTTAGATTACTATACCCGATTTATGTGCGACCACATTTAGAATACGGGATTCAAGCAGCGTGTCCTTGTTTCAAGTATGAAGCAGATATGCTGGAAAGAATCCAACGGCTAGGTACTAAGATGGTGCAAGGTCTATCTGGCCTATTTTATGAAGACAGACTGAGACACCTTAACTTATTTCCGTTATCTTACCGTAGAATACGGGGTGATCTAATATTGGCTTATCGTGTACTGAACGATGACCTTGGTATTAACATGTCTTATCTTTTGCTTCCGTCTAGAACCGATTATTTGAGAGGACATTCGACCTGGCCGTGGCTGCATCGACCACATATTCACCATTCGTCAGGTTCTAGAACATAGGCATACTTATCGGCGTCCGACATTGGTGATCCTTCTTGACAGTGTCTGTCATTGAAAGGCGTACCTCAGAAGTACATAAACCTTGTGAAGACTCTTTACTCGAACACTACTAGTCGAGTCAGAGCTTATGGCGAACTGTCATTTGCTTTTGCAACCTCAAGTGATGTCCGTCAAGGCTGTTCACCTTCTCCATTTTTGTTTAACTTCATCATAGACCTATTGGTGGAAGTAACATTCTCGTCTACTGAATTCTCGGGTATTGATCTCCTTCCAGGAGGTCCACCTATCGATTTAGAATACGCAGATGACATAGTCCTGTTTGGTGAAGACGTTGATAAAATGCAGAGTCTTTTGGTAGCACTAAGCAACAATGCCAGAATGTTTGGAATGTGCTTCTCTCCTCTAAATGCAAGTTGTTGCTTCAGGACTGGTCTGCGTCAACACCTGAACTAAGGATAGGGAGTGAAGTAGTCGAACGCGTCGACAACTTCACTTATCTTGGAAGTCTGATCAGTCCTAATGGTTTGGTGTCTGACGAAATCTCAGCACGGTTTCGAAAAGCTCGCTTGGCTTTTGCCAACTTATGTCACCCATAGCAAGGCGAGATATCCGTCTATCAATAAAAGGACGAGTACACTGCGCGGTAGTCCGTTCTGTTTTAATTTACGGCAGCGAAACATGGTCATTGAGAGTAGAAGACACTTGTAAGCTACTAGTATTTGACCATAGATGCCTTAGAAATATTGCTGGCATCTGCTGGGATCACCGGGTAAGTAATAGTGAGGTTAGACGCATGGTATTAGGGAATGATGGTAAATCAGTTGATGAGGTTGTGAATCTTCGTCGACTGAGATGGTTGAGCCACGTGCTGCGTATGCCTGAACACCGATTACCACGACGTGCAATGCTGACCGGTGTTGGAGATGGCTGGAAGAAAGTTAGGGGCGGCCAAACCAAAACGTGGCATCAGTGCTTGAAGTCACTAACTTCTAGTCTGAGCCATGTTGGTAGATGCAGACTACTTGGGGTCCGCGTGACTGTCGTAACCAATGGTTGGAGACCCTTGGTGACATGGCTCAGAATCGATCACAATGGCGTCGGTGTATAAACTCCTTGTCTTCCCTTAAACTAAGAAATTAAAATCACCTCATATCTTTCTACTAACTAATTCTTTTTTCCTGTACTGTATCCTTATATGCAATTTTTCTCCTATATATTACCACCTTTGACCTAACCATTCCTATGAATCCAGTGTTCATCTTGCTGTGTTAATGAGGTATGGCAACTTGGACCGATGCATATATGTGCCTGGTCCTACGTTGTAGCTGACTGACTGACATTCGAAGAAAGTTCAAAAACCAAGATCAAACCGTTTACGTCTGGAGTTCCGTTTTTCGCACCGAGTAGTGAATTACTGGAATTCTCTACTAGAACACGTAATATCAGCACCGTCTGTTAATATATTCAAAACGAGATTGTGCCTCCACAGTATTAAAACTGCAAGGATTAATATAGGTCGATAGACCTTCTATCCTTATTACTGAAGACTGAAGATTAGAACGCCTTACCCAAACAAGGAGAAACTGAACCTTCACTGGAAGGTAGTCTGCTAGGATTAACACAGATTCACCAACCTACTATCCTTATTACTTAAGACTGAACTTAGTTTACATAGTGTAACATGTGAGTACTTTATATAAGTATTTTTATTAGCATTGACGTATGGATAGTTTGAAGTAGAAAACCTAGTGACTACTAACACATGAAATTTTTGATATAGACGAAGAGTAAGTGTAAATAAAGTGCTCTCAGTACGTTAATGGACACTTTACTTAGTGTGCTAAATCCGTACTACTTTAAGGCGACACTGAGAATCGTTTTTACTAAACAATGTGATAACGGATTTCCTGTGAATATTACGCGTGTCTGCAACCAAATACTGGCTCACAATTCATCGTACGAAGTGTATAACAGGACGTTTGTTACATTGTCAGACATGTGTAAAATAATGACTAAGAAAAACTAAGAGTGGGGTTCTCTTACTACACATAATTGTATCGAAATCTGAGAGCGCACTAGTGTCTCGGTTTGTCTTTGCTTAATCACCTGAAAATATATACATACAGATAGGAAACTGATACTTATTATTTACTGTCACTGAAACCACTATTAAGACCTCAAATTCATTCGCCTTAGTCGAATTCGTATTTATTATGAAAGTACACAATGGTGCTACTTTAATCAGCTTATTTTTTAGTGACAAAATCAGCATCCCCGAGGTGTGTTCAGTGAATAATAAATACTATCAACACAGTAGAATTATAATTGTGTACTAAATTTTCAGTTAAAAGTCATGTTCGAGGTACTACTGCCGTTGATAGTTGGATTGATATGGGGAAGTACTAATATCTGTATGAAGTATAACTCTAACAAAATGCTCAAAGTAAGAATTCTTGTTTCATGAACTATCTCGCAGCTTTTGGCGTTCTTTTTCTTGAATCAATTCGCCTCTATCTTGTTGATGTTTGGATTCGGATATACACGTAAGTAATCATAAACAAAAATCTGACTTTTAGGATTGTCAAGAGGTGTAGCGATAGCAAACTCAACAGCTTTACTAGCGTCAGCACTTACAAGCTCATGTGTTTACCATGAAAAAATGAAATTTAGCGGTACGTTGCTGTCAACTAAAGTTATCTGTATATAAACTTCTAGGGTCTGTTGGAGTTGTGCTCATATGTGTTGGAACTGGTCTACTCAACAGCTGATGAGTATGATAAAATAAATTTTGTGACACATTTTCGGAAAGTGAAAATTACCTATACACAATTTCAAGCTATAATGACAGTTGAAATATACAGTTTGAAAATAAGTGTAAGTCGTCAAATTAACCACTGTAGTGTTGCCGTCCATTAAAGTTACCAAAAAAGAATTCCAGAGTAGATATGTGGTTAAAAAAAGAAGTAAACCATTGTAATCGCACGACTGCTGTCGCACAAATGAATCCGAGTCCCATTATCGTAACCAGCCATGATAGAAGTAGGCAAACAGCATTTGATTCAAATGAAAATTGAGGTGCATTCTCATAGTCCGAAGGAAGGACGCGTAGTGGCACACGAGGTAAGAGACCTGTAAAATAACACATTGAAAATAATGCCGAGAACCAGTGTATACAAATGGATACTTGCTGAAAACCTTGTACTCCAAATACAAATTGTGTTGTGTTTCTTGTAGCTTCACATTCGTATCAAGTTAATGAGAACCCGAGGTTTCAGTTTTGTTTTCCCCCTAATGTCCTTGTACGGATGAGTGTGGGGGAAGTCTATCTCTTCCATCGGAATGCTGTCATATGACCACAGGTTTATAGTCATTGCAGAAGCGCAACTTACTGCTTTCTTGTCTACGAAAGTGAGAGAACCAGTAGTGAATGTCGGACGCCTAGACTACGTAGGTGGCTCCGGGGATTCACCCAGGGGAAGTCGGGAAACCCTAGTTGCAAACGAATGGTAGGTATGGGGTTCCATGGTCCTAGAACATCGAACGTTGTATCAATCCACTTTTGCCACTGGTTACCACAGGACTGTATTTCTGGACGTTCATCGACTACCTTGTGGACTTGACGCTCTAGTCAACAGCTCAATGAATGGCTACTAAGAACACAACTGTTATAATTTCTATTAATGCTTAGTATTCTTGGACACTACTTCACTCGAAAAGTCTCAAGTCAGAACACGATTGAACAGGAACGTGATTATATTCCAATTGAAAGGGTTGAACGGAGGTAGGGATCACAATAAGAAAAACGTTAGTAATTTATAAGTTTTACATAGGAAAATTCTAGAGTCTTCTCCAGGACTCTGCTAGCGCTGATTGGTTAAAAAATAGCCAATGAGCGTGCCCCAACACAATCTTGCACGGGGCATGCCCAACGCGTATGCTTGGAAAGTCTTGAAATCAATTACTGCTCTATATATGACACATTTTCCAGACTAGTGGGGTACTACATACTCGCTCGGTCTTTCAATTCGTAAAAGTTGTTTTGTGTGCATTTCCTCGGGGATCATATGGCATCTTTTTCCAGTTCTGTTGGTGTCGTACTAGGCACCAGCGCTGACCGATAGCCAGTTATTTGCCGTTAGGTTAGAAAGGTTCAAGAAACTTCGGGGGAGTCGGTGTAACACACGGTACCTTTGCGTCGTTTCTGCCCAAACCCCGACAGATTACAACCCAGACGCAATTAAAAATGGGTTCTACCATCGGCTAAATAGTCTCTAGAAAACACGTTCGACAGATATGGCAGTGCTTGCCGGTTTGAATGCGCAGATCGAAAAACTAGCTGTCACCTGCAGCTTTGCGTAGTCAGAACTATATTTCTAGCCACTGACAAATTTCAGCATCCGACGCCTTTACGGTGTGAGTATGGAGTGCCACATTTCTCGCTTTTAGGTACTGAATTTATACATATTGCCTAGAACTCCTTAAGAAATGTTAGGCTGCACTGGCTAAACGCTAGTTTGACAAGAAACACAAATCCTAAACTAAGGAAAGTGTACAAAGTTTTGCGTAAGGACAAACAAGGCAATTCAATTTACAAAAGTACGACCGGGAATTTTTCAATCCTAGATGTGCCGCACAAATTTCTGAAGAATATAGAAGCAAACTACAGCAGGGCTACCACTGGCTTGTGTTTTAAGCGATGCCTGGTAGCCTTGAGTCACTGAGTAGCATCACGTCCAAGACCCTAGCCAGGATGTTTTGATGGACCGACAGATGTCAGTTCCATACGACTTCATGCATAGCATGGCACCACATCGTAAACTGACTAGGTTTGACCTCCTAACCAGTTCAAGCGTCAGTAATTGACGCATAATTTGAAAGCTGTTGAAGCGGCGTCCGTTTCACAAGTCCAAGCCACTGAGAACGGTGTTTCAGGATGGTGGCATTAATCAGGTCATCTTAACTGACTCCCTAGCACGCATTACTGAACCTGGTGTTGCCACTGGATATTAGTAGTCTTTCGGAGACAACGGTATTTGAAAACAAATATACGTGGCCCAGAGTACTGAGGAATTAAACAGAACTCTCCTCAAAAACACATGAACTCAGACTTTGACAGTCAGACAAACATCACGGCGGTGAAAAGAATAGACCAGCTTGGCATAAACTCCTCTAGCACTCACTATACGTTAAATAATGTCATAACACACCAACACTGAGACAGCGACTCAGACACACTAGTACAGCACAGATTCCTACCAATACTACAGTAGTGTTTACAATTTGTGTCATGCCTACAAGCACCTAATGAGAACTGATGATTTGCGTAGCTTGCGTGTCATCCCGCAGTAGGAAAATATTGCCTAAGATCGAAGTCTTTCTCTAGATGACAGACCCATACCGCCATGTGCTTCGGAACCGTCAACAAAAAAGTTAAAGAGGAACGATGAGTTTTGGTAACCGCATATAACTCTACTGCTAAACTGGAGTGATGGTGCGAAGTTGTATTCCCTTACTCTGCTCGATGTGTTTGTGTACAAACCTTCAAGATTTTGCTAAGATTCTTAGACACTTCTGAAGTTTCAGGGTACAGTCCTGCCCAACTAGTCAGAGACGGTCCTAATATCATGAAAAAATGATTTGGCTTAAGGTAAACATGGCGCTTCTCTAACATTTGCGGGGGTATATATGGTCAGTCCCCCATACCAGTTAGAAGCCTCCCTGCGAGCTTTGGGTGGTGCAAACAGTGTGACAGGATAGTAATCTGGACACAGTTAAAAAAAGACGTGTCCCTTGATATTTGTTGCATAGATGATGTAGGCACTTTTCAAGCAAAAAGATGACGACCTCTTCATTTCATTATGTTAGAGCACATTGCTTTATAAACAACCCAGTCCCCTGACCAGAAGTTTGTCACAATCCTTAAAGAGGGTCTGGTGGCACTTTGGTTGTCGGATTTCCGCGTGGAGCTCCCTATTGTTGAGTGGACTCGCTGTCACCGCCTAGGGAGGAAAGGGTAGTCCGATCGACGTTCGTGGGGTAACAGGCTAGCTGTACTGTCCTTTGTGAAACTATAATCCAGGACTTCATTAGAGGTTATTAACTGACTTTCCATCAGATTAACAGACTGTCTCACTCATAACAGACTTCTATATGTCAGTGGTTCAAATGAGTTAAATTAGCTTCCAGCAGCCGCTGTTTTTAACTCGAAATTACGCTCCGACCATTAGGTTTCATTAAATGTCATTTTAATATTTCTGTGGTTGGACTATGTGTGTTCGGGAATAGTGATGAAAATGCAGTCAGTGTTACCATCTTGACACAATGTTTTTAGTAGCATGAACATAGTTTACCGATACCATCGTAGCAACCTACATGTAGTGCAGTAATCGCGGGCTCTAGGTGAAGAAAGTGGTTTGAAAGAAAACTGTATGGGACTGGCGTCTATCGGTCTGTTACAACTTTCTAACTGGGGTCCTAGAAAGGGTGCAACTAACTGGCGTGAGACTCTGTCAGATATGGCTCAGAACACAAACCAGTGGCGACTCTGATGTAGTATGCTCCCAATTCTCCGCCAAAGGTAAGAAGTTCAATGGATTGGCAGAATTATTCCTGGTTTTATTTCAACTGAACTATTTCTCCAATTGACAGATAATTCCCATTTAAACATTAGAAATTAAAAACACGAAGTTCAGCGAAGGGATCTCTTTTCAGAGAATTTATTATCAAGCTGTACAATCGTATATATGAACACCTAATCGACTGTAATCATTCTACGGATCCACAGTTTGATTTTAACGTTGTTTATATAATTCGTTCAAATCTACCTAGATTTTTTCGTATTCAACTCTTAAAAATAACCGAAGCTCTTACCATCCAGCTTAAACTAGAACTATGCGTACAAAAGAAGTACGTCTTACCGTTATCGTTACATTGGCCTTAATTAACTTATTATTATTATTATTACTGCATTCCCCTTTACTTATGTTTTATATTCTCATTATTTTATCCATAAGTACTCATCATGTCACCCTGTTTATTTTTACACCTCTATGACTTTTAATGACCTTTAATTATTGTAACAAAAACATTTTAATCATTTTAGTCATCTTATTATATTCACTAAGTCTATTGTTATTATTCGTATTACGTAATCTAGTATTATAACCTTTCTATTACGTCATCTTGTTTATTCGTGTTCACATTTCCTCACGGAATTAGTACTTTAACAGAAAAATTTTGTATGTATACGACTGTATAGCTTGATAATAAATTCGCTGAAAAGAGATCTCTTCGCTGAACTTCGTGTTTTTAACTGAACTATTTCTCCCATTATACACTATTTTGGTTTGTTTGTTTTTATCCATTTAGCTGTTTTTGATTTTAATCTTTCTTTAATCTATTGACAATTTTACTTTCGTGTTTGTATGACGCATATCTACTTTCGAGCCCATTTGTGCTAGTAAGTGTATCAAGTACATAAATTCTTAATTGTTTACTGTAATAAATGTACTAAACTGTCTTACAAAATTACATACTGTCTCACTTTCTCACTTTGGTTGCATTCTATGCTTTTAAATAAGGGTTTAAATACATATGAGCCAACGGTTTTACAGAGAATAAAACTGTGGTGTAAATCCAGGTCTTAGATTATTTGTCGAATACGAACGGATTCTGACGGGTGGATACTCGTAATAAACAAATATTTATTGCAATTTTATTGATGGATATGATGAACAAGGAAACGTATCTGTTTATTCTTTATACCATAGCACAACACTTTAGATTCGGTTGCTGTCAGTATTTGTAAAGCTCAACTTTCCGTTACTAAATTACGAGTTTGAAGCCTGTTACACATTATTCGGTTTACTTGACCGGTTAGCTTTACTAGCTTACATAAAAGATGTAGACGAAAGCGAACTACATGAAGCTGCAATTGGTTATTGAGTTGCATTGACTTTAATCATAATCTAGTACAAACAAATGGACTGTCTGATCTGTTTTTGTATTCATGTTCCTATGTAGTTCTTAATAGAATCATCTTACTTTTACTTAATAAACCGAAAGTTCTTTGCATGTAAACAGTTCGAGAGTGGAATCTTTCAAAAGAGAGCAGTTAGATACTGATCGATTCACAGTAGATCCAGGTTATCTATACTAGCAGACGATAACAAACAAATATTGCCCATACAAGTTTATATCTATTCTCTCTAGTCTTCATAGGAGCACAGTAATTTCTCCAGAAACATGCACATCGATAGACAAATAGCTACTCGTTAAGTAGAAGGTTTTCAGTTTACAGCAAGTGAACTAACCCCATAAAAACCTATTACTGAGTTAACAACAACTGGATGGAAGTCACTGGGGCAGATAGCACACATAACTTTTAGTCTGTAATTAGAATTATGGACTTACGCATGTTTGACCAAATAAAGTCAGCCATCCCATCCAAATCGACATCTGAACCGGAATACTCATTTAAGATTTTCCCGTTAACGATAATCTTGAGTTTTGGGACAAACAACATACGCAAACTCCATTTGTGAACTAGATAATCATCTACCTGTATGCCGTAGACTGGAAGTTGGGGATATGCTCGAGCTAAGGCATTTATATAAGGCAATGAAGCTTCAGAAAATCGACAAGTAGTAGAGAAAATGAACAGGATGTAGCATTCATGTAACCTCAGTTGGTCAGGATGTTTAGCATGGTTTCCAGGATCCCATGTGAATTGTGAGATGGGCCAAGGGGAGTTGAATAAATCTGATAGTTGTGCTTTATGCAGAAATTTAACGTTGCTATTACTACCATTTATCCAGTTAAATTTCAGGAGTTTGCATTGTGGAATAATATGAGATTGTTCCGTCGTAGACCATACAGATTGGAGGAAACTAATTTCTGTCATGAAAAAGAAAGAAAAGAATAGGTTAACTATTTCTTGTATTTTACAACCACAGCGTAATACAAAGCTGATTTGTGGGCACTATGTCGCCAACTAATCCATCATAGCTAATGGCGACAGAAGGTTAAGAAGATCGAGAACAGAGAATGTTTCCTGTGGAAGTGAAGAAACACTGAAGTCTGAGACGATTGATCGACATCTTACAAATGAGATATTTACTGTATGGTTCTCAGATTTCACTGAGAGATTCTGTAATTTTGTGTTGAAATATATTCGGTTGTCCCTGCTAGTGTTTTTGTTCACTGCACTATGACCAATCGGCGCGTTAACTTAGACCATTTTGCATTCATCAGGAAGAGGTTTTGTGAAGATTGTAGTAATTTAATAGTTGAGTTCATGAGTTAGTTACAGCTAGATCACCATGAAAAACCTGGAAGCACTGAACGGCCGACTTATTCTAGTATGAGACTCCTCGGGAGTGCGCATCCACGATCTCCCCGCGGGATTCGAACCTTTGGTCTCGCGCTTAACCTCCAGACCATTGGGCCGGTATCCAACAGTGTTCATGTCTAACCTGAACCAACCCACGAAATTACGCCACCGTCTATAGTTGTCTCACAACAGACTTGGTTGAAATCCACTGGTTACGGCTTCTCAGTTGAACTCTAGGAAATACCTCTTGAAACCAGTCACTTATGATTATGATCAGAAAGAGGTTTTGTGATTCCAGCGGAGGAAAAAGCGCTGAAAGTGGATAGGATACATAATGAGGAAAGCACCAAACCGCGTCACAAGGCAAGCGCTCACTTGGAATCCTAAAGGCCAAAAGAGAAAAATGCAGACAGACATGAGAAGAATGAACAATTTGATTGAACTAGGAAGGAAAACCCAGGACAGAGTGGATTGGTAAATGCTGGTCGACGGCCTAGGCTTTATTGACGGTAACAAGCGTAAGTAACTCACTCATGATAACGGCCGTCCAGTGCTTCCAGGTTTTTCATGTTGGCCTCGCTTAAATTAACTCATGAACTCAACTATTAAATTTCGCATTTAGATGAAAGAAACGCATCTCAATCATGCCCGTATTGCCACACAAAGGATTCAGGAAACTACATTATCCCTGGGTCCCTACTAAATAGGATTATGTCAACTGTGTACTCGATATGGGTAAGCGAGTTTCCGAAAAGATCAATCCCCGAAAACAGGTCATGAAAGTGTGATTTCTGGAAAATCCATAGCGAAACTAAGTAACAGACACTACTTAAGGGTGACAATTGCCGTGATTTTGCCACCAATTTTAAATTGACCATTGACGTTCAAATAAAGAGCCTTTAGAAGAACCAGAAACTTTTATAGTGTAATTTTCAGAGACAAACTGTTACAGAACCTGTCGGCTAACTAAACCAGACAGAACATTCAAGTCAAAATAATCACACTTGGCTGTCACCATGTCTGTTTCTATTCAGAAGTTACAAAACATCCTCTTATGGCATTGAGTTTTCTGAGTTAGACTTCGGAATGTTCAATGTCGTTTTCGACTTCATGAAACGAGAGCTGATCCTGTACAGGACAACAATGAATGTTCCGCAACTAAACCATAGACATCAGAGAACCTAAAAACACTAAAACCACTCATCGCAGTTATCAACATGTATGTTAGCATAAATCTGCCCCTGTCCAATCATTTAAGTAACACAGCCGTAACATGACAATTTTTAAACATAACGCCACAGAAATATGATATTAGTTTACTAGTAGCTGCGTATACCTTCTGACAAACTACTTTTGAGTAATTGTATGGTTTTTTACTAAATGGATTTCTAAAAACCTACAAATAATATCAAAATAATGGATCCAGGATCATCAAAGTATCCTTCAAAACAAAGAAGGGAATCACGATGAATGTTATCCGATGTTATGCACCCACCAGTGATAGTAATGACAACGATAAAGATCAGTTCTACGAGAGGCTGCAATCGATCATAGTGAAGTGTCCAGGAAAGGACGTGACCATCCTGATGACAGATCTAAACTCCAAAGTCGGGATGGACAACACCGGATATGAAGATATCATGGGATGACATGGACTAGGAGAAAGAAACAAAAATGGGGAGAGATTCGCAAATACATGTGCGTCCAACAAAATCGTTATAGGTGGCACAATATTCCCCCACAAACACATACGCAAAGCTACATGGGTCTCACTGGACCACATTACAGAGAATCTGACCGATCATATTCGCATCACTAAAAGTTCACAAGGTCAATGGAGGACGTGCGAACCAGGAAAGGAGCTGATATAGCTTCAGATCACTATCTGGTGGTTGCCAAAATGAAGCTTAGGCTAGAGAAGCAATGGACATCTGGAGCAACAGCACTACAAAGTTTAATACAACCTTCCTTCAAAATACTGACAAACTCAACGAATTCAATATAGCTTTCATCAACAGGTTCCAAGCCTTGCAGAGTTCTTTGAAAGGAGAAACTACTATGGAGGACAACTGCAAAGGAATCAAAAAAGCATTAACTTCAACGTCTCGGGAGGTTCTGGGTCACAAGAAGCATCATCATAAGGAATGGGTCCCCATCGAAGCCTTGGACAAGATTTATGAAAGATATGACAGCAACTAACTGATAAGTCTTGCAGATTGAACGCTATATTCGTCCCCTAAGCTATTCTGTAACCCCCAAGCTAGAACACACTATACAGCGACCTGAACACGAGAGAGAAGACTCAAAGTATGCGAGTAGTTTACTCCAAGGTTTGTTTTAATACAGAAAATACAGGGTTTTTATAATGTTTTAAATGTTCTTGGGTTGTTAGAAGATTCTGGAATGTTACTAAACTTAGTAGCAGTGTAGCAGCTAACCAATCAGAGCCTCTGGATGTGACGTTTCGCTTCCTTGATATTTTTGGCCAAAACTCCAAGTGAACGCTGATTGGATGAAACGCGTCTTAGTAATTCCTGATGCTTGCTTGTCTTTTGCAAGCAACTTTTTGGATCACCCCAACACTAACAACAGTCAAGCGAGAACAGAGAAAGTCAAGATACAAGCTGAATATACAGAAGCAAACAAGCAAGTGAAGAAGGGCGTCAGAATTGACAAGGAAAAATACGTGGAAGAGCTAGAAACTACAGCAGAAAAAGCTGCAAGAGAAGGGAGTATGAAACAATGAAGAAACTGACAAAGAAATGTAGTAAACCAGAGAGACGGGTCAAGGATAAACAACGCAAGCCAGTCACTAAAATTCAAGGACAGAGGAACAGATGGGTAGAATACTATGAGGAACTCTCGAATAAACCAGCTTCATTGAACCCACCGGATATCGAAGTAGCGCCTACAGACCCTCCTACAGATGTCACTTTAGGAACGGTCGGACAAGTCAGGTGTGAAAAAGCAGCATGACCTGACAAAATACCAGCCGAAACACTAAAGCTAGACGTATAAGTAACTGCGAAGACACTCCGCGTTCTTTTCAGTAAGATTTGGGATGAAAAACAAGTGCCAACAGACTGGAAAGAAGGATACCTCATCAAGATACCAAAAAGAAGAGACCTGAGCATATGTGAGAACTACAGAGGAATCACACTACCATCACTACCAGGAAAGGTTTCCAACAGTATTGCCGAACCGAATGAAACTCAGTAGACGCCCAACGTCGAGATCAACAAGCTGGATTCCGTAAGGATCGGTCGTACACAAACCAAATCATCACACTACGGAACATCGTTGAACAATCAATTGAATGAAACTCGCCATTATACATCAACTTCCTTGATTGTGGGGAGGCATTTGACAGTTTGGATAGGAGAACATTATGAACACTTCTACGACACTATGGAGTACTTAAGAAAATCGTCAACATGATGCGGAATTCATAAGACGGACTACAATGCAAAGGCGTTCATGGAGGACAGTCGACAGACGCATTCCAAGTGAGGACCGGAGTCAGACAAGGTTTCTTACTCTCCCACTTTCTCTTTCTTCTGGTGGTTGACTGGATTATGAAAACCACATCTGATAGGAAGCATGGAATAAGATGGACAAGTTGGATGCAAGTAGACGATTTGGAATTTTCATATGACCTAGCTATTCTATCCCATACATTAACAAATGCAGGTCAAGACAAACAGTGTAGCAACAACCTCTGTATCAGTAGGTCTCAAAATACACGAGGGAAAAAGCAAGATCCTCAAATACAACAGTGTGTATTAACGGAATCACACTTAATGGAGAAGCTCTGGAAGATGTGGAAAGTTCTACGTATCTGGGTAGCATCATCGATGAACGTGGAGGATCCAATGCAGATGTAAAGGCGAGGATTGAGAAAGCAAGGATAGTATTCTTACAGTTGAAGAATATATAGAACTCAAAACAACTTGACCAATATCAAAGTCAGAATCTTCAATACGAACGTCAAGACAGTTTTACTGTACGGAGCTGAAACTTGGAGAACTACTAAATCCATCATCAAGAAGGTACAAGTATTTATAAATAGTTGTCTACTAAGGATACTCAACAACCATTGACCGGATACGACCAGCAACAGACTACTGTGAGAGAGAACAAACCAGCTCCCATCTGAAGAGGAAATTAGGAAAAGACGTTGGAGGTGGATAGGATGCACATTTTGGAAATCGTTAAACTGCATCACGAAGCAATCCCTAACTTGGAATGCAGAAGGAAACGGGAGGAGGGAGACCAAAGGACACAGTTCGTCGGGAATTGGAAGCAGACATGAAAAGGATGAACTGAAGTCCTGAGTTTGAAACTGGCATATTTTCTCATAAAAGGAGTCCCGGTCAAACAGCAGCAGAGATCTTAACGAACTTTATCCTAATGTGGGTTCTATGGATCGAAAAAATCTCATAACAAATTCACTAAATATCTTAATTTACTAGCCTGTTAGAATCTACCATTTCGTTAGTCCGTCGTTAATACAATGTGGCTACTGTTTGATGGGGAGTTCAAGATAAAACTTAACTTGCATAAACTTCATTTAAGCATGACAAGTGAAATTTTTCCTATGTAAATCACAAGACTAAAACACAGTAACGCAGAAATGTCCGTACCATCAATAACATAAAATTAAGTAGTTTTTTCATGTAAGTCAGGACGATGTAATTAAGTACGAACTAATTTAGATACAAAAAATGAAATAGTACTATATATATTCACGGTTACTCAGAACGAAGCAGGCAACATGCAAACGACATTTAGACTCGCTTCATTATCGTAGTTCACCACTGGGATGGGAGTATGCCCTCGTTTGTTTAATATATAGAGCAGGATCTAGGTAGCACCACCAAACCATACATCTACTAATTTTAAAAGTATATCCGAGGTTTCGTGAAAATTACTGAGTACGCAAGAATTTAAAAAATTCGGACCTTCTCACATTAAATGTAATATACAACAAACTCAAAATAATTTCGGGTATGATATTTACATCTTTCACCCACGTCGGAAAAACCTAAATGAGGTATTTAGATATCAAGATCTAAGTGTACCCCGGAAGTCTACTATTGAGATCAGCCACCCGAAAACATTGGATGTACGCCCGTGATTGAACAATTCAATAGAATACTGAGAACAAAAACATACTTAACAACCACTAGAACAGGCCATCAAAAGGACGAACTTTGAGGGAAAATACGATAATTGAGAGAACCACTATGTTCCCTTTTATCGAAGGGACTACTAAGAAATAAGTCAAAGTGATACTTATGGTTAAGTAAGTACCTCAGCAAATTATCGCTTAATTTCATGCGTTTGAAAAGCAGTTTTTTTAATATCTCATCGTAGGAGTTACCTGAGCTCCCAATCTTGGGGAAACTTTCGAAGTTAAATGACCCTTGCCTAAGTTAAGGGAAATTTTGGGGTTTTAGTGCCATTTTTCAAAGTTTACTATAGCCGCTTCCGCAAAATAGGAAGCTCGGGTAGTGAGACACTCCCTTCAACATATTTCACATAATTGTTGAAAAGTGGTCCGTCCCTCAAGAGCACTACGTGCTAAGACAAACTGAATCTTTCTCATAATAACACATCTTCAAGATCGTTTTTCCAGGCCTGTTTTCAAAACGAGAATGTACATTTCCTCAAGAATAGTACTTACGCCAGTTAACCCTGCTCTTGTGAATCGTATTAACTCGGAAATCCTGATGATTTTTATTATTTGGGTTTTTTCCTGAATCCGCTTTAGAACCCCAAAAACACCAAACCAATATATGGTAATTGATAAGAATGTGAGTATCCCGCGCATCTACAAGGTCTGTGTGAAGGTGAAACAATGTCCCTACAGCTGGAGGACATTTCAGTGCAGCTGTAGTTTGTCTCGTTCCTAAGTAAATACTGACTCATTAAAACTGAAATTTCTGCGGGTGTCGCAGTAAAAATGCAACACTAAGTGAACTCTATAAAATTAATTGCATAGACGCCACACATAATGGTTTTTTTGCACCAGAAACTTCAGGCAAGAAGGACATGGATGTAGTCCTTACATAGTAGGAAACTGTCAATATAAATCATTATTAATTATATGAGGGTCTACTTCTAGTTTTCCGCTAGGTTTCAAGCGAAGCCGAGTGGTCTAGGAATTAGCTCTTAAGTGCATACAAATCTTCACACTACCTTGTCGGAATGTTTACGTGTTTTAAAATCTGTGTTTGTCCATCGAAAACAACCATACACCTGGTACATCTAGAATTTGTGTTGCGTATACAATCGATTTCGCTTGTGCGGTGAGGGAAATATCACTGAACGTTGCCCGAATCAACTATCAAGTCGCGTTGCCTGTACACTAGAGGACTGATTACTGAGTGCCACATGATTTGCTGAGGTTCATCAACATCAGTCGTGACTAATATGCACTGATTAACTGATAACATGGCATGGTTCATGAAGTGGCTTGACCACTTTCTGTACTTCACCTTATTTTTACCCGTCTACTTCTGTGCGTCGTTAAAAAAATTATTATACATTGAAACCATGGAAGCGTATTCGCCTTATATTTTAAATAAGATCCTTGTATTTTATTGTTGTATTCTATATGGTTCTTTACAGATTCAATTTAACAACTAACAGTCAGAAAAAGCTCGTAGATCTCTCTATAGAAATTTAGCTTGGTGTTGTTATATGTAAATATTTTAGATCAAAACTGACATGATGAATTCCATGTTGATAGTATTCATTTACTCTAGTTGAGTGATCGTGGTATGAATATGTAACCTAGGTAATCTTACTTTTGAATCACTTTCTAGCTGTCTTTTATCATAACTCACCTTGACTTGGTAGACAACTTTTCCTGGTTTCATGATACTCTCAGGGAATAAATGTAATCATTCGTAATAAAATCACATAATGAAAAGCGAAATGGATGTGATGTTAACAGATATAGTGCATTAAGCTTCAGTCTCACGGTGTGTTTATTAGTTGCTTTTGCTAACATTTCACTTCATTTGTCTTGAATAACCACTGGGGGTCCAGTTTCTCAACCGTCAAGTAAAAATATCCTCCAAGAATGTCCCGTAAAACGAAAACGGCTATTAGGATGAGAGGACCTGAAGAGTTTAGCATTGGGGATGAAGTGTTAATTAGCACATGCTAAGAAACAGTGCGAAAGCCCTAGGTGTGTGAAGAGCTTACGGAGATCAAGAGTAAATCGCTGTTAATAAAAAGGCGTGTCATGGAAACCGGTTCGATGTTCAGATGAGAAAGATGATATGGCGCGTGATTCTGTGCACTTTGAACGTAAAGGACGGCTTGGGTCTTACCCCATCACAATCTCTTCAGTATTTTCTTCGGCTGCGTCTCTGGCAACGTTTGACGGCGTTTTGTTCTCCGAGAGGAAACCATCCACCTGAGCGACAAATCTCCAGCTCCGGTAACTGTTAGCAAAATACCGGACAGTGCGGCTAAACTCTACTCTATACAATAATTCCCCAATAGATATTTTAGTAATTTCATTAATAAACTGTTTCTAACTTCATTTAAGGCCTACATTTTTCAAAACTAATCTACAATACTGTTTGCTGAACTGAGTCACATGAACAATGCATAAAGCATTTACGGACTGGTTTTGTGAACCGAGGTCATCCTCCCACTAAGTAAACTCCTCCAACTGAAAGATAAATGACTGTGTATGTTGTACAGACTGCGCTTCACCGCCTGATATATTTGATGTCTTAACACGATAAGAAGCGATTACGCTCATTTATTTCACAAATCATACATTATTTATTGTTTCCCCTATGCTCAATGTTATTACCCCGCCTTACCGATTTATTCAATAACTGTCTCCTTTAGACACACTTATCTGCTTCGTTGATTAGTTTTTAATTGCCATATTTCAACTCTTTTTTCTCTACTGTGGTTACCCGATGTCCTACAGTCACGCTATCATGTGAACACAAATGTGTTACTTTGGTGTGTGTTAGAGGGTATGATATTCACACTAGCATCATCCCTTCCACTCACAGGCAAGCCTATTTCTGGTGACTTCAACGTGCCCGAAATTTCTTGGTTTCCAGTCGAGGCGCAGTGGACTCAGTATGACAGTAGCCCTGACAAACTTAGTCTTTACAAGTGGCCTCACACTCAATACTGTGTATATTGGAAAAACGTTTCCAGGTAATGATCATAATATTGTCATATGTAGCCTTAATACAAAAACAACAGCCGGTAAGCGCAAAACCGTAACACTTCGTAGATAGTATCACACTAGAAGAACTTCCAAAATTACCTAATAAGTACTGATTAGGGGACCTAATTTACTGTAAACAATACCAACACAATAACTAATATATTCTATCACAACATCATAAATATCTTCAACAAAATCACACCTTTAGTATATCGAAAATCTAAGTTATCTAAAGATCTGTATATGACTGTCTGTGCACGAAGACATCTTCAAAGACATTGTACTCGATCCACAACTTAAATGACTTTTCCTCTTTAGTAACGATGACAGAAATACTTGTCCGAACAGAGGCAATAAGTAAACAAAAAGCAGTAGCACAGGAAAAACGTGCAGTTGAACTTAATAATAACTCCTCTGCACTCACCATACTACTCCAAAATAAACTTAAACGCTCTAAATCGAGAGGGAGTATATTCATTAAAGGCAAACAAGTATACGAAGATCCCAAACTTATCACAGAATTATTTAGTGAACATTTTTGTTTCTCACTAACTAACGAAAAACCATTTAATGATTCAGAACCAATCCCAGTAACTCCCTGTGAAATTACTAATGTAGAATTCAGTGTACAAAATATCTCCAAGGCAATCAGTACATTGAAACACTCCTACACTGATGGACCAGATGGTATTCCATCTAGCATGCTAAAACGTGGAGGTGATGATATGTGTGTTTTGCTTCTCAAACTATTCGCGATATCACTCTCTTCAGCGTGTTACCCTACTGCCTGGAAAACTACACATATCATTCCCAAAATTAAAACAGGACCTGAAGCAAACGTTGAAAATTACCGGCCTATAAACATAACTTCAGTGGTATCCAGAGTGATGGAAAAAGTAGTTAAGGCGGCTGTAGTCCAACATCTACTTAATAATCTCATCTCGACCTCCCAGCATGGATTTCTTAGGTCCAGATCATGCGATACATGCCTAGTAGACTACCTGAATGATATAACTCTGAAACGAGACAGCGGACTCCTTGTATCAGTCCTATTCCTAGACTTTAAGAAAGCCTTTGATAAGGTCCCACACAAAAGGCTACTCGTCAAACTAAAGTCCTTCGGAATACACAACCCACTGTACTCATGGTTTGCTTCGTTCTTAACAGAACGTAAACAGATGGTAAAGTACAATGACTGTCTCTCGTCCCCTAGACCAATCACCAGTGGAGTCATCCAGGGAAGCGTATTAGGTCCACTTTTGTTTCTTATGTATATAAACGATATATGTAACACCATAGAATTTGGGAAACCATACTTATATGCTGATGATCTCAAAATAGTATACAGCTATAAGCCTGAGACACTAAGCGAAAGTGTATCCCAGATCCAAAAGGACCTCAATAACTTAACTATATGGAGTGAAAAATGGCAATTACCATTTAACCTCAACAAGTGCGGGATCATGCACTTTGGAAAGCATCCCTATAAACCGCGACTTCACTTAAATGAATGTAGAGTCCAAACACTCGAATCAGTACACGATTTAGGAATTAATTACACAGGAAGCCTAAACTTTGAAGAACATGCCTCCTCTATTATTTCTAAATCTAGACGGCTAATTGGTTTTATAATGAAAAACTTTTTCACAACAGAGGGTAAACTTACTCTCTACAAAATATGTGTACGACCCTCCCTTGAATACTGCTCTTTTGTCTTCTCTAATATGAATATCGCAGACAAGATAAGAGTAGAAGATGTTCAAAGACGTTTCACACGTCAACTACTAGGATGTAACTCGAATCTCGATTACACAGAAGATGTAAGCATCTATCTTTAGAACCTTTATGGCACCGTAGGCTAAAAACAATTTAATATTTCTCTACAAAGCGATATATGGGCTCTCCTTTCTAACCTCCTGCCCGACTATCACCCACGACCCAGCCTATAGACTTAGAAACAACGCATATACACTACTTACCGTAAAACACCAAAAACAAATGCGTTGTTTTTTACAGTACGGTACAGTTTATTGTGGAACAGGCTGCCAATGCCTATCCGTAACTGTGATACGTTTACCAGATTCAAAAAGCTAATAACCCTATTTCTAGACTCCAAAGAGCTTCAACATTTCCTTGAACTCCCGCCCACCAATGAGGCACTTTATTACGGACCACCTAGTATCTAGACAGAACAAGAATATAACTAACCCGACTGTTATTAGTACGAATATAACCAAATCACAGAACACATGGTTTACCCTATTCCATTATTCATTGATTATTAATCATGGCCTTATGCTCCTAACTCTCACTAAAAGTTCCTAAATCTCTCTAATGGTTGAAGATACACTATTCTTCCTAAGTGTCATGCCTTTTTTTCTATTACAAGTAGACAGATAACTCACTAATCTTATGGATGCTGATTTACTAAGGCCGATCATACAAAGCTCAAAATCTGGCCACAAAGTCTTGTGTGTTTCTTACCCAAAATCTTTTTTTTCAACAATTTCATATCCTTTCATATCTTTTGATTTGCTTTTAGTCTTTACTTCTTTAAACCATTAGTTATTTTCATAGCAGTGTGACATACTATGTGTACATCTAACCCATAAAACAGACTTTTCAACTAACATGGACCTAGTAGAGACAGTGTATTCCAACTATGGGCTTTGATCAAAGCAGTAATCCTACTTACCACAAACGTAAGAGAGCCTGACGTCACCAAAGGAGGGAGGGTGGCGTTACTGACCGGCAAACATGATGGTGGGGATATTACTTCAATCCAATCCTGTCTGTGGGGCAGAACATATTGTTTAATTACGGCTCCTTATGGTCTAGTGGGATGTCACGAACCAATGGTATTGAAGCTGATTTATTATACAAAACA